TGTGAAGTATAAAGTATTGGATATAAATAAGTACCTATACGCCTATTATACCTCATCTACTATATAACTAGTCGTTATGTACATAAAACATTTAAATAAATAGACTCGAGATTTCATTCATCAAATGGTGCCCACTAGCGATTGGTGCAAACTATACTTCTTGTATTATATTGTAGACGACGTTACTAGGTCTTGTAGATTGATTAAAAAGGAATTTAAATCGTAGTATTTGACTATTTGCAATAAAAATGCTCCTCGCTTATATACATTTCGTATAGTTTCTTACTATGGGCTACCTTCTTGTATTCGAAGTTGTTAATAGCGAAGCAATATCATATTCAAATCTATCTAGTTCTATATCTTATTCGGTCTGTCAGAATCAGCTACTCAAAACAATTCATTTTCTGTAGTTACATGCGTACGAAGTAAGTGTAATAACATTTTAACTTTTCAATTCTTCTCTCATGGTATTTTATCCTCTCACATTTTTCAATTGTTACTATTTCGTCGAAACAAACATCAACAGGGGGAGAATGTTAGGTCATTATCAGTTAAAACATTCACTTGATAATCAAGTCTAAAATCTCTACCAACCTCCATTCATAATAAATCCCTCGTACCGGGTCGTGCGAGATTAGCGCGAGAATAAGCAGACGACAAGATTCCATTAATAAGGCCTGGCGAAATGTGACTAGTAAACGAAATATTTGAAACTGATAGAAATAAGTTTTTGTTAGTTTAACCCCAAACTAAACAGTGCAATTCAACTCTTATAAAGCCAGCCTTTTCTTCGCTGTTTTTACCCGACATATTTTGAATTGTCGATTTAGATGTAACGTCACGTGAGAACGTGCAGTTTTGCACGTGCACAAAAAAGGAAACGTCTGGTTGTTCACGCTAAACCTTGCTTTCAGATTCCAAAAGTAAATAGTAATGGTCACTTTAAACACAGAATTGTGCGCAATTTCTTGAAATTTTTAAATGTGTCAACGCCCTCTTTGTCAGTATATAGGACAACATGAAATATGCGCGTGCTTTTTGATATGTGTTAATTCTTAATATCAGATATTTCGAGTATAAAAACGAATAACTTCTGTACTTTCAGATATAAAATGTACTGTGCCAGTTGCCCCGGAACATGGATTTATAGATGGAACAGACTATAGTTTATTTTCAACTGTGCACGTGCGTTGTGATTCTGGTTACTATTTAGTGGGGTCATCTGTGATGACGTGTCAAGCTGTACCCAATCCTTTCCATAAAATGGGTGCTTGGGATCCGACTGGGCCTAGACATTGTAGAGGTCAGTATTATCCAAATATTTCATCTTTACATCAAAATATCAAATTAGGGACCGAATGTCAAAATATCTAAAGCTGTAAATCGTAACGTTATCACATATTCCTATGACGTAATGACGTTACAAATGAAAACTGTGGCATTACGCCTGTTAGTGTCGCCTGAACGTGTGTTTCTATGGCGACACGTGACAAAAATCAACATTGTTTAGAAGATTTGATATTTGTCGTCAGGAAACAATTCGGGTACGAGAGAAAAGATGTTATTTGTTTGGGCTGACTATTTAAAGCTTTTTTGACAGAAGGTGACCAAACGCCGTCACATTGCTCGGATATTTATGGCGGGATATTTTCGGCGGGAATTGTTGTTTGGCGAGATATAGACATGTCAAGAGAGTTGAATTTGTTTACACCTTGTCCTTGTGTTTATTATATATACTATTGTGTTGGACGACATGTCAACAGATTTGCAGACGTGTTCATAGCTGATTTTCCTGCGCTGCTAACTTTACGAAAAAATCTGATCTTTTGCTGTTAAAAATACTCTGTCGATTGACATGATGAGAAAATCAATAGACGATGCATAAATAAACAAACAGTGATAAAGTACTGAAACAATGAAGGATAATATTGAAACGTTGAAACGTTGACACAATCTGGGTAGACAGAAACCAGATACCCCTTATGGATACTTTGAACTTGTCAGATGATAAAAAACGGCCTTTAACAACCCCTAGAATTATTATGTTTGACAATACCACCGAACCACAGACATCCACGGAACCAGACAACCACAGAACCGAAGACTTTTAGGTATTGTATTTTTGATAACTCTGTCTTTTATTCCAGCTCGTAATGATGAGAAAATGTTTGACACGCGAGATTTACCAGCATATCACTACGCTACAGAACAGGCTACAGACGACATGCCCAAATATGGTGTTATGGGTTTAAAATATTATCAAAAACGAGACACGGGTAAGTTGACTTTTTTTAGTTTGCAGTTAATACCTTCAAACACGTAGACATCTTGATTTGAATCGACGACATCTGTGACGACAAATGACAGTGCCACATGCATATAAAAAAAACATGACAGATTCATTATAATGTTAGTTCAAAACAATTCACTAAATTTCAAAATAGAATTCTGCTTGAAGGGTTTATATCACGTTCAATCAAAATCTGTACAAATTGTAAATTAACTGAATAGAGTCGTCAGATGGCGTTACCTTGACCGGATTAAAAACTTCCGTTTATATGACGTCAAACTTGACCTCATTCTGATGTTACGATGCTGTAGGACGACACGACCGCGCGTGCCGAGAACAAAAGAGGATTAGCGACATGGAAATAGTTAAAAATAGATTTATTTGATGATATTGTTTAGACAAGTAAATAACCAATGATTAAAATGTCTGAAACACGCATGAATGATTTAGGCGCCAAAATTTTGATACAAAATCGTTTGAAATGTACACGTTAACACGTGATCTTTTACAAAAGGCGGGAATCTATATGACGTAGAAACTGTGTCAAAAATAGGCTTCAACTTAAATTAGGTCAAATGTAGCAGCAACCTACACCCATTTGCGTCATTGACTCCATTCGAATAACTCTTTAAAAAAAAGTCCTATTGGTGCGAATTATTTTGAGCAGCATCAGAGGCATTTCAAGGAATTCTAAGAAAAGGAGGGGGAGAGTTGTACATAGGCTGGAATATAAATCTTAAGATTTTAATTTTGTTGTTAGCATTCGATGTATATAAAAATGGAAACAATTTTGATATTTAAAAATCAGACAAAAAAATTTGTGTAAAGTAGCCCCCACAAAAAGATAGTGACCTCTGCTCTATGCTTTTGTCAGATGTTGATCACTTATTTATTACTGGGGTGGCAATTCTTCACTACACACAATGATAAGATATTTTAAAGTGATGGAAGAACAGAAAGGGGAGGACTAAAAGCCTCAATTTTGGAGGAACGTCCCTATTTGCAGCACTTAATTCCATGATTTGGTAACTTGGTACAGCCTTACTATAATAAAATTACAAGTATTTATAATTATTATGAAAGTACAGGTGATTTAGCAATATTTGAAATTATAACCTTCATTAGACTTTGAACAAATTATTTATCTGACAATATTGGAGATAGAGACGACATAAAAGATAAAATATCAGAGATATTGGAAAATATATACAAGGCAGAGTGATCTCCGAATATTATCTTATTATCTTTGTTATTATCTCTGTAACAAACTTCATTGAAAACGTATATTAACTAGGACAGGGGAGTAAGTTGGTACTATTGTCCGTGGTCCAACATTGGCATCTTAAAAAGGAATGGGGATGGGTATTATTTTTTTTTTAGAATAGCTTAAAAAACGCTCCCAAATTACGTGTTATTTTGTACTGGTGAAATATGAATACCTCTGTTAGAAATGGGTTTACAGAAAAGTCAATCATTGAAGTCCTGGGGGTGGCTAAGCTCTTAAATTGATAAGTTGAATGCGTAATCAGGCTCTTCATATAAATATTTTCTGGCCCCAGCATGACGTAACCTGAAGTTGATTAGAATCTGTTTTTCAATAGAATTATGTTAAGATTAGATTGAAACGATGTAAATTAATGTGATTTGTACGTGTAATTCGGGAATGTTTTCAGTTTATAACTATCAATCTTATAGACGAACAGTCAGTTATAATGACAATCATGTGAAGTTTCATTGATTTAATCTTGTATAGACATGAGAATAGTTCAATTGTAACAGTTACAGATTGATTTTATTATTACTCATTGATTTTAATTTAATAATCAACTCGGCGGGAAATTAAGGCAGACATGGTATGGAATTGAAACTGTAATTCTCTAAATTGCAAACTAAGGAATGGAATGTACGGTACTTTTATCTCTCTACAGGTCTCGAGCTATACGGGAGTTGGGATTGGGGAGCCGGGAAAAATAAAAGAATATTTCTGACAACCGACCAATTCCATTACTACAACTCAAAACCACACATCATTGCCCCTTCTAGATATATTACTTACCCCTCCGAACAATCAAGTCTGACTATGAGCCCATCTACCCGTAAAATAAAATCTCGAGGTTTGTTGGAACAGGATTGATTTAGTTCAGGGTATGGGAAGTCACCAGTCGTTGTGGTTTTATAATATTTAAATGAATGTAATAAATGAATTGATGTCAATTTAACGAGTAAACCGGTGTCAGGTCGCTCCAGGTTGTATTTCAACTCGCTAAAAGCAATCAGTAATTGTGTGGTGACCCGTTCTAGGTGTAGGTTGTTCCGTGTATTAACTGGTATCAGGTACCCGCCTGGACTTACTTTAAACTCTATATTTCATATCTTTATCGGAAAATCGACAAATAGTTTTTAAGAAAATTACCCTGAAATCTTTTTAATATATCATATGGGTCTTTAGGGGCTTGAACGTTTAAGAATAAAATTCTGAAATTTCTTAAGAATTAAGTGGGGGGTGCAATATTGGGGTATTGGGGTACAAACTATCAACCCCCCCCCCCCCTCAAATGTCCCCACTGACTAGTAGAATGAATACGTGTAGCAGTTATAACGCTCGGTATAATGATATATCTAAAAAGCGATACAGGTAGATATTTTATTTATTAATTAAAAACAATTATTTTCTTTCATTTCAGTGATAGATAAAAGTTTAGAAAATGTACCAGAAGAATGCGGATTATCCATGGTAACAGGAAAATGTCGAGGTTTCTTTAAAAGATATTATTTTAATATGGCTTCAAGGGAATGTGAACCGTTTATTTTTGGTGGTTGTGGTGGTAACGAGAATAATTTCCAGACTCTAGCTCAGTGTTTAAAAAGATGCTATATACCTGCAATATTACCAGTAGTTAAATATTAATTCATTTGCATAATTTATTCAAATTTATGCACGGAACATTTCTACCTGGTCTGTATTTTTGAGCATTTGTTTTTCACCTTAGATTTTCAGTGAATAACAAAAATAATATCATTTCTAACTGATTTTATATAAACTGGTCACTTAAAGAGATCGTAAAGATGTTTTCTTAATTTTCAATGTTTATCGCGGACTTTGATATCATCAAACACTTTCTTTTAGTGAAATTGCAAGAACCAAAGACGTCTGATTGTAAATTGGAATGGTGCAAATTGATGTTATCAGTTTCCCCTATACACATCTTACTTCTTACACATCTCTTTAACATTTTTAATATTGAATACTCAACTCATTAAGTTTATTAAAGAATTTGATATTTTTATTAATTAAGTGATATTCGAAATCCGACTTTATTATAAAAAAAATCCGCAAACTGGAAACGTGTTTGTTCCACACATTTATCCGAAAATCTTAAAAAACTTCGTTTTAAAATCTTCTGTAAATATTGAAATTCAAATCATTTAATGTTAAATTCATTATCCGTTCACAGACAGTGTCTCTGTTATCGTCTTCTGTTAGTTTTTGTGGTGTCTGATTTTATATTAGTATCATTTTCTGTTAAAATTATGTGTTAATTTATATTCAAGATTAATAATTCTGTATAACGTCTTCAAATAATGACTTTCAACTTAGTGAAGCTATTAGGCCTGTGCTAGAATTGATTGTTCGGAGGGGAAAGTAGGCTAATATATCCGGAGGGATAATGCTATATGGAAGCCATTTGGGACTTGATACTTTTCAACAAAGTTATATCGGCCTTATAACTTATCTTAATATCCGTATTCAATTATTTGTCCTTCCGAAATCCAAATTATATTTTGTAATTTCAGCCAATTAACCAGCGATATGTAAATTAATCATTTGATTTAAAAGAATTATGATTTGTTTTTTTCTGAAAAAAGAAAGATTAAAAGTATTTTTTCAGCATAATAATAAGCAATTTCCTGTGATGAAACACCGGAATATTGTATTGTATCAATATATAGAGGGAATGCCTTTAACATCAGCTTCACAATGTCAAGCTAATAACAAACTACGTCTAATACCTTGACATCATTGGGTTTTTTTCTTTGTAATTTACAAATTTGTTATGCAGCGATTTAGTTGGATTGTACGGTAGCAAATACAGCCAATCAGTGACTGAAGACTCTGATCGTACAAACCAATCAAATCGCTGTATTTACAAACTTTGGAGATACAGTGGCTATTGCAGGCAAGGTGTAAGACGCAGTTCGTAATAGCTTGACATTGTGAAGATGCTTAAGAATTTGTTTCAGCTTTCCACAAGTACAAGTAAAATTGGGCTCCTTCAAGCGACAGAGTTTAATGTATTTAGACGACTTCGATTAGATGTAAAAAATCCGAATGTTCTTTTTTGGAAAATGGCTGAGCTAGGCATTCCCTTTAAGGTGTTTGTAAATACATTATATAATATAATAACATAATATAATTTATATTTTAAACTGTTGAAGACAGCCATTGCAATGTTTTTTTTTATATTCATATATACGCAGTTTATTGAAACATTAGTCAGTGTTAATTTGGCAAACAAATGCTCTCTTCCAATCGATTATCGATTCTCTTATTTTAATTCTCTTGCATTATTTATATAAAAATGAGTTAAATTTATGACATTGGTCATTTAAAGTCAGTCACGTGACTAGCCACCAATAACTTAAAAATCAGAATTTTTCAAAAAAATCAAAATGAACTTATTGCAATAATTATTATTTTGTATTTTGTAATTTCCTTTTGTGCCAAATATTTTTTTTTTGTAGATCCATGTAATGAAATATATTTTGAATTTAGTCATTTAATATATCCAATATTTGTTATTAGTTAATATTCGTTTATTTTATATATCATACAGTTCTTACTTACTGATTTATTAAAATAAAAAAAAAACCTAAGTTGGTATTCTATCGATCAGAACCACAAAACGAAACCCGAAATCTAAAATAACATTGGAAATACATTGGTAACAGCTAATGAATTTTTCACATCAATTATAAGTGAGTAAGTATTTCAGAATCAAAAGTGGTATCAGGTATCTACAAGAGTAAGCCTGTCCTGTCTGGCAAAGTACATGTTCTTCTGGCTCTTCTATATACTTCTTGGTGGTATTAAGGTTTTTACACTTTAATAATATTATTAAGAAAAATAAGCCATTTATTGTATCTTTTTCATTTTGTTTGTGTTTAATACTATTTATGTATAATGTGATTATGTATATTTTGTATTGTATTTGTGTATATCGATGTGTATTGTCTGTATGTTTTGTAATGTCTGTATATTTTGTAAAGTTTGTATATCATATTTCTATCACCAGTCAAATTAAAACCTTGCAAAATATTCTGTTTTTTCATTCCTCGCGATTAACATGAAAAGCACGCGTAAAATGACACCCAATAAGTCGGAAATAGAGTGCATACGAGAAAATTGCTTGAAGTCATTGAGGTGTTGTATTTGTACTCCCTAGGAATAAAGTTAGTGCACCTAATTGTACCCCTACTTCATTCATGAGAATTATAGAATATATGTTATATACTCTTATACTCAAAATGTTTTCAAAATGTTGTCTTCGGGGACACTTGCTATATCGGTATATGGGAGATAACAGGAAAATAAGACTACAGTTAAATAACAACTAAACACCACAGTAACACAGTCTAGAGTTTTATATTTTATTTAAAAGCATGAACTCTTTCACTTCTGAAATTCATCTCTGATATTCTTCCACTTCAGTTTCAAGTTTTCTTTCTCTTGAGTAGAAGCAAAAGTATAATCGATTGCCTTGTATGATAAATCAACCATCTGGGACTTGGTCAAATTAAATGCCTGGGCTGCCTGGAAGTATTCATCTGATAGGTTACATTGATAAGTTCCTTTACCATCAGTACATAAAATCTGGGGATGATTCAAGTCATACCAAACCTTAAAATGATGTTCCTTGTAATTTTCTACAGTTTGAGTTTTCAAGTTAGATGTTAGACAGAGTTCGATTGGTATTTTTCTCTTGATGACAATTTCCTTTAAATCTTCTAATCCTGGAAATTCCGAGTGAATGAAAGATCCATGTCCAATCCGATCAGGAGTTGACTCTTTTAAAACTCTCAACGTTTCCTCATGATTTGGAATCTCTGCTAAATGCAGAGCTAATTTCAATCCAAGCTCTCTGGCTCTGTTGAAAACAGGAATATATTCCACTGCATCTAGGACTTTAGGATCTCCGCTGAAATCAATTCCTGGAATATAACCAGGGTATTTATCAGATAATTCCTTCGCCAAATCCACTGTAATGTTGGCAACATCAACACCAAGTCTTCTGTCGATGGATGGTAGAATTTTCACTAGGATATCCAAACCCTCTTTTTCACAAGCCTTGACAGCTTTAATCATAGTTTCAATATACAGCCTTCGTGTCATACCAGTACTAGATATTTCTTTCGGCGTTGATCTCAGCTCTAGATACTTCACATTATCATCAGAAAACTCATGTATGACATCATAGGACAGTTTATAAATAGCATATTCATCATCGAAAACCTAGAAATATACAATTCATTTTATAAAATTCAGTATCAAATACTCATGTAGGTATAACAAACATGTAGGGGAATCTAAAATCTGAAATTGTTCTATGAAAATATTCAGTTTCAAAACAAACACTTACATGATATAACTGAGCTTTAAAATAAAAGTTATAATCCAAACTGCAAAGCAAAACCCAAAATCCAAACAACATATTGGCTATACATTGGTAGCAGCTGATGAACTTTTCATATGAGGTATGCAATCAATCATAAATGAAGAAGTATTTCATAATAAAAGTGGTATCAGGTGTTCTTTATTAAGACAATCATCTTCCAAACATCAGTTATCAAGTTTTGAAACAAACCTTTTGAGCTAATCGATACAAATCAAAGTTGTTATCCAAACTATTTGTTTCACCTTCTTTAATGGTCACATTCAGATTTTTTACTTCTGGCAAAGTGGATGCTTTCCTATCAACCAAATGCTGAAAAGTTTTCGCGCTGAAGCTTACATTTAAATGAGCATGGAGCTCAACTTTAGGAATTTTTTGACAAAATCCCAAATCTATTGTGTCGTTTGATTCAAACATTTTAAATTTCTTAAATGACAATCAATAAATATCTAAAAAGCCTTGAAAATTCTCTTAAATCTACTTCACAGTCACCAAACCTAAATGAGTAATGTCCCTTATCAAACTTTACCCTTTAGGCTTTAGTTTGATGAAAAAGGACACAAATGGTGTGTTTAAAATGCCTTCTCGCCAACCCCTCTGTTATTTCACAATCGAGTGTAATACAATTTAAACAAACCTTATGAATTAACCTAAATAAATCAAAAGATTTATCAATACAGTACGTTTCTCCTTCTTTAATGGCCACATTAAAAAGTTTCAACTCTGGCAAAGTGGATGATTTCTTATCAACCAAATGTTGGAATGTTGCAGAACTGAAACTGGTATTCAAATGAGCATGAAGCTCAATTTTGGGAATTTTCTGACAAAATGCCAAGTCGACTGTCTCATCAGATTGGAACATTTTACGTTTCTAAGAAAGGAAGATAGACTTTAAACTTTAAAAAATTTCTTAAGCACTTCAAGGTCCTCTAAGAGTAATGCCCCTTTAAAACTCTTCAATTGATTCATTGAAAAAGAGTATAAACGGTCGTATACTTTGCAAAATGGCGTCGAAATTGAAATATGAAAGTTTACCAGTTGGATTAAAGAAAATATCTCGTCCTGTGATCAGTTCGGACATAATGGGCAACCGAAATGTGGAAATCAGACCAGTTGGAGCATGGGTCCAGCCAGCACCCACTGACAGATATTCAGAAAACCCTGATGCCGTTGTAAGAATTCAATTTTTGGCCTATTTTTGTGAAAATTCATGTTGAAACATGCCTATTTATTAACTGAATACACTGAAAAATGTATTGAATAAACCTATATTGATATATTTTTATGGAAAGCTACAGCTAAACATATATAATAATCGTAGAAAATGTTCCGATTTAATTTTCACCTTGATTCTGATTTGTTTTTCATAGACTGCGGCAGAAGAAATAGAACAACAAATGAATGATATACAGAAACAGAAAGAGAGAAGAATTCGACAATTTCATGAAGATGTTAAAAAAAGAGTCAAAACAATCGAAAGATTAAAAAAACAGCAACAGATGGAGCAAAATATTCAGGCCGTAAGATAGTTGTCTTTCTACTAAAGTTATCTTAAAGAGAAAATGAAATTCTGTACAAGCAAGACAATACCTTCAATCAAAAATCTTCTCAATAGAATAACAAAATCGGGAGTAATAGATGTATAGTAGTGGATTACTCAAAAGAGAATTACCATCAGGTTTTTGGAAAGAGTAAGCATGGTCTATAGTTAGGTGACACCCGCCTGCAGAAGTCTATACAAGTGGTAAATGCAATCATGATAAATGATAATAAAGTTCTCTTACTTAAGAGTTAAACTGATCTGACTTTTTTACTGTGGAGTTTCAATTCTCCAGTAAACTCTTTATTATCTTTGTACCCTTCTTATGAAATATAAAGATATACAAACTTACAAAACAATTGAAATGATTCTAATTCTGATGGTAATATAACTACAATGTAAATGATTATTTTCTTCTAAATAGGTAGAAGAAGAGAGAAATATTTTACAACAAAGTGCAATGATTAAAAATTACAAAAATTCAAGATCGAGTTCCCAGAGAAAAACTGGTACTTCAGTTCACAACACAGAGACTCATTCTATATATAGGTCATCTAGTCATAAACATAGAAAAGGTCAGCTCTAGTTTGATTTTTGTGAAGTTTGTGGAGTTAAAAGTATACTACCTCTTAGGATGAATACGAAATAAATAAATATTCATCAGTGGACATACCTGGTGTCTTAACTATACAACAGAATCTCTGTATAATCCAATAAATCCATTAAACTAAGTAATAATTCATTAAACTAAGAAATTATTGAAAATTGGATCCTATTGTATAGTTTTTTTAGGAGGTTTTTAGGTTTACTCTGACAGATTTTGTAACATTGCACTTTTTCCAGGATCATCAAAGTCAAAAGAAGATCACATTCAAACCAAAGTTTTCACTGATCAAACTAGTCAGGTAAGAAACTAGAAGTCTGGAAAGATCTGTTGAAGTATGGACATCAACTAACTCAATTATCCATATAAATTGTCCAGAAGACTGTATGCACTGTCCGACATTATTGAACTGCAGTTGAACACATTTCAAATTGGCAAGTTGCAAACATGGGGAAAGAAAAATAGTGTTGGGGTTTACAAGATTTTTTAAAATAGATATCAAAAGATGCATGGTAAGGGACATTGCTGTAGGTTTTTATCAAAAAAAATTGAATGCTCACTATTGAAAATTGATTGGAATTTCAAAAAAGGTTTCAGTATAAATAACAAGATACATAGTAAGAGACAGGATAGGGCAGCTCTTCTCAAAAAATCAAATGCTCACCGTTAAATGTTTAAAATTGATGATTGTAATGTACTATGATTTATTTTTAGATTCATCAATATACTAATGATGCCAGAAAGAAATTAGGGTTAAAGAAAACTGATGATTATATTGAAGAAAATGATGCTGGTGCTCTTTCCTGGCATAAACCATTACATGTAGGTTTTATTATTTATAGTAACTGTTTCAGTCAGCTTGCTTTCTTAGCTTATACTCATACAGTCCAATATTCTTTAATAACTCTGTCAATAATAAATGATGGAATACTGGCACTGTGCTCTCAATAGTTGTGCCAATGATGGAATGACAAAAGATTTTGCTTTGAATTGTATGATTTTCAGTCATGAATTAAAAATTTATTTCAGTCATTTGAAGAAGATAAACATCCATTAGATTGTCTAGGACTGACAATTTTAACTCACGATCACAAACAAATACCAGAAATAGACTGGGAGAGACAGAGTGTAGAAGAACCTGACACGGATGAATGTGAGGATGACAGTTCAAAAACACGGCCCAAAAAATCTGTTCATTTTCAAGTTTCACCACGGGTAAAAGGTATTATTCTTTATTTTGATCTACAAATACAAGGAATATTGTTCAAAGCTTTACATGCTGCAGTTTTGTCATTCAGGGACGACCAAAAAATGATTCCACACTGATGATTGGTACTGTTCTGCCAAATAATTTGAAATAAAGCTGCCATTGCCCTTCCAGTGATAAGGCTGGCGTGGCCTTGAACCACCCACTTTTAAATATTTTCCGATTTTGCATACTGAAGAATTGCCTGTGGCCCTCCAACTACTGAAGCTATGTTAATATAATTTAGGTAACAGACTAAAAGTGAAACATTCAGTTAAGATACCTGCTATATATAATGGTGTAGAGGAAGAGGAAGAAAAGAAGAGAAAGAGAAGTCAACTAGCTCTGTATAGAAAATTATTCATGGATATAGAAAGAGAACAAGTTAAAGAAAATCTGAGAAAAAGAGATCACAAGAGAAAAATACAACTGTAAGTGTTAGGGCTTAATTTAATAGGTATCGCATTGCAGTTTGTTATTCAAAATGACTCCATTTGCGATATTTCCTATGATTGGTCAAAATTGAAATTTACAATCTGCGAAGCGAATCAAATCAAAGTTTATGTCCTATCTGCATTAATTACATTTTCTATCTTTCTGTATCTTCTTGAGCCAATAAGGACAACAGGACAGTTAGCATATCCTTTAGCCATTTGAAATCTTTAAGAAATCACAAATATAGATTTAACACAAAGCTGATATTCGATGATATTCAGTCACGCTAGTGTTAAATATTCAAGCTAGTTTCTTTTGAACAGATTAAAGAAAGAAAAAGAACTGGAGAGAAAGGAAGAGGAAGAAGAGGCATTACGATTGGTTGAACCGAGGGATCCAATCACAGGAGAGACGAGAGCGGAAATATATCTCCGAGAGAAAATGGAGGAATCTCAAATTAAAGAGACATTAGAACACCATGAACATCAGCGACAGAAAATAAAAGAAACACAGAGGTTGGATTTCATAAAATCATTTGTTAATTTAAACTTTAAAAGATGCCAAAACCCTGTTCCACAAAAAATCCTACAATTAATACCTTAACATATTTCATGTGGGTAAGAGGGGCTGACATGAAAAAAGCATCTTGTTGTTCGGATGGGACAATAAACCGAGGCCCCATGTGCTACAGGCTGTGTACTTTATAGATCCGTCGACAGTTGGAAATCCAAAAAGAGCAGGCTAATGCCGCTGCCCTGGCAAAATTTCCCTCATTTCACACTTCCTGAAAGTAAGAATTTAAAACACAATTAATTTAATCCTTACTTCTTTTCAGATATTTGGAAGCTCTTCAACATAATATACGAATAAAGTTAGAAAAGAAAGGAATAGTATTACCACCTTTATGTTGCTGTGCAGAGACTGCGTGGGACACGAATCCTGATACTTGTGCTAATAACTGTATCTTTTATAAAAATCCTAAAGGTAACCAAATTACTAAGTATATTGATAAAATATATTATCATGTAGGAAATTTTATGTTTGTATTGAACTACTTGACTGTTTCTTGCATTGTGGCAGATTTGCTGATTGGAGACCTCTGTGTGCTTTATCTGTACAGTTTTACATTGATTAAAGAGCAATTTCTACATGTAAAATTAGTTTTTTGTAAACAATATTTTATTCATGACAGAAAAGGATAAGGGAATAGACTTACAATATGACCCTTTTCAGACTCTTCATAGATAAAATTAATGGACAAATAACACTATGGCTATAAAAAGAGAATCTATTAAGCACGGCCAAGCTATGCCAACGTCTTTTTTTATCAAACAGTTACTAGTCAGTATGATTTAACTTTGTTTTCACATGTACATTTACATCAAATATTTTTATTTCAGCCTATACAAAAGCTCTACAGTCATTGTTAGTATCTTGTCAGGTTGGATAGTGGGAATGAAAGTGACTGGAAAACATTTTAATTCAGCTATCTGTAAACTGGAATTGGTCAAGAAGTTTTTTATTGACTGACATGTCATCCTATATCATAACTGATATGGGTTTGATTAGCTGATGAATTAAAACAACTTTTTATTGCATGTATGTTGAAGGATCCAGACAGAGTGCATTTGAAGAGAATCTTTGTTTTATTTGTACATGTTTGTTAATAAATTGTTGATTTATTCTCAATTTCTCTCAACTGTAAATAATCCAGGCTGCGTAATCTGGAAAGATCTTAGCGCTAGGATATCCTAGAAACAGTGTTGAAGGTTAAGACATTAGGACATCCTCAGATCTTTTGGAGAAAACATGTTTTTAGGTTTTTATTAGGGCCTGGTAGTATTTGTCCATCTCAATCAAGCAAAATAAATACATCTTTAAATTGATTATTTAGACAATTAACTGAGGTAAAAAAGGCTTGATGTAGGACCAAACTATGATTAATAGAGACAGCAAGACATCATTTATTTCAAAACAGATAAAAAACATTCTTCAAATATCTTAACTCTAAAATATTTTAATGTTAAAATAGTTTTTTTGTTTTAAAAAATTTTAAAATTCATGGTAATCGGGAGAAATTATAATGACCAAAACAATCAGTAAAAACTGCCAAATTATTGTCATCCAAATATTTTGATACACAAATAAAACAATTAAAAATTTGTGTAAAAAGCAATGCATTTTAAAAGATGACTTAATAAAAACGATGAGTACTGATTTTCTAAATTATCTGCCTAGAATTTCAGATGCATTAAAAACGACTAAGTCCTCCAGTTCTAATCTTAAAAAGACTATATGCAACTGGGACAGCAAATATGTACATAATGAGCAAGTTTAAACATTGTAGACCTAACATCCAGCAAAACGTTCGCCAATGTTTGTTAGTTTCCGTGAGCAGCTCTCTTAATCTGAAAGTTGATACGAGAATAGAGTGTAGGCCTAGGCTTATTTTTCAGTATTTAAAAAGGTCATTTCAAATTATAAGTATTCAGAACTAATTTCAAATAGCTATATCTATTATTCTCATGCGAATATGACAAGTGTTGTGGGAGGCTAATAAAAGTTTCTAGTAACTATTGAAATAAACAAGTATATCCTTTTCATAGCTTGAATTAAACCCCTTCCCCCAAACAAAACTCTAACACATGACATGAAAATAAAACAGCACTGATTCAATATCTCCCTCTTCTTCGTTCATTATCATACGGATGATGACTGCGACTTCTGTTATAATGATCGTCATAGCGACCACGTCTATCATGACGTCCATCACGGTTATCATAGCGATTGTCATGACCCCTCTGATTTTGAATGTTCATTGACATTTGCTGCTTATCTAAAACCCGTTGTCTTCGAACGTCAATCGGTGCCATTTCCCGTGGCTGCATTGACATATCGTTCATACTCCCTGCTGAACTTTGACCTCGTAGCACATCCACTGACATATAACCCCCCTTCGCTTGTGCATACAGATTTTTAACTTCATACGGAGGGGATTTCATCAAACTCGGTCCTTCTAACTGCGGACTTTGACCTGGACTAGTTTGTCCGTGCCACGTATTTGCACGATTGTATCCAGGATGTCTATTTTGTTGAGGATCGGAATTATAATGTGGGCTAGATCGCGGTGAACTTCTAGGACTGTCATTAGAGTTACTTCCCCTATTTTGTAAGCTTAAAGTCCGTCCGAATAACTGAATACCGTCCATAACTTGTTTAGAGTAAGGAACTGAAACATCATGTAGAAAAGTTACAAATGCAAATCTTCGCGATCTTCCTTCTTTATCGGTTGGAATCTTGACTTTTTCTAACGGACCAGCCTAAAATAGATTAGAAATGTTTAAACCATTATTCATCCATGTAGGACACATTTTTCTGGATTTATACAAAGGCAACATGATGAGACAGCTTACAGAGGCAGAGGACATTTTCAGTCAAAATTTGGGATTTGTTCAGAAGAAAGCATCTATCATAACAGCAGTTGGGATGAGAAATTGAATCCTTAGTACAATTATTTTTCAGTACCGGTACTTTTAATTAAAATAGCTCATTGTCAATATTAAAACTGAAAATGAAACTTGACTTAGTGGAGAATGAAACTTGAAAGAATCATTTGAATGCCTTCTGCAAACAATGACAGCGCCAAAATCTTGCTTCTGAATGTTTCACCCCCAAAAGGTTGATATTTTTATGTAAGAAATTAACTGATATGTAAGATTGTGGACCTGTAGAAATAATTCGTAAAGTAATTCCTCTGTAACACGATCAGATAAGCCGCCAACAAATAAAGTTCTATCGTCTTCCGACATCTTGGAAATATTAGAAGGGGCATAACTCATATAATGCCCCAGACCACAGATAATTAAGCTTAGAGGGGCCCCAAAATATTAGGAATTTTAGGTTGTAACATTGCGGTTAAGCAATGTTACGAAAGCACAGACACGGGCATGTAGGCGTAACCTCTAGTGATAGAAATTATTAGGCTTATCCATTTAGAGAAAGACAGTGCTTGACTGTAAAAAACTTTTACGCGAACACGCGACCCCATAGCTACCGAGCAAGACCTAGGGTTAATTAAGGGTAAACATTTTTTTTTCAAAATCAACAAGGTAGCTCGGAAAAGGTTCGTGCTTGTTGGTTAGGGATAAGATTTCGTTGCTAGCAAAAAGAACTACCATATAAATGAATTCAAAACAGATTTATTAAATAATATACAATTTCTTTTTACAATTCAGAAATGTATCCGTGCTATTATTTAACACTATTAAATAGCCTATTGGTATTAATGTGTATCAGGGACACTGATAGCATCGTATAGCATCATTCCAATTTTCAGTCAAACTTCTTGGTCCCTGCAACTCCATTAAAACAAGACAGTGTTTGATGAAGTCACTTATCACAGGGGCTAGAATGTGATAAATTTGTCCGTTGTTGTCTTTGCTGTTAGTTTTTTCAGATATCATTATATAACATATTTTATGTTTCATTGCAAGGACGTTAGATTGAGATGGTATCTTGTTTTTATTCATCGGTTTTTGAAGAGAAACAGCAAAATAATCTCTTCCAGCTTCCAGACTTCCTCTTTTCTGAAATAATAAAAAAACAGTTTTTACTACACAATACCGTTGATGAGGGGGTGGGGGGTTAACTGCCGAAATTGATTCAGCAGCTTGGTGTATGCGTCATAGACTCAAGCATCTCTTGGAGCACAACCATATGAGTCGAGGCCGTGGACTGAAATAGGTCAAGTCCCCTCTCCCACGAACATATCCTCTCCTGCATGTGGGGGCCATGGACTTGGTTCAGCCAGTCCCTATGATAATTGAGCTACTGAGGAAGTGTAAACTGTTTGTGTTTACCTTTGTTTATTTTAGCTGGATGGATTTCATCCTGACTAGAGTTAGACTGTCTTCTCCAGAATCTTAATTTCTGAAAATACGGAAAATAAACAAATTTTCAACGAAGAAACATTATTACGTAGAAAACATCTGAAGTTCACTTAGGTTCTTTCTATATGTCCTTGGACGAACCTCTTATCAGTAATCTTTCCTGGATTATCCATACCCTTTAAAAGCTGGGTCATCACACTATAACACTAGGGTATATTATATGTTACGTATATTGCATTGTTTTCGTCTGCAAAAGAAAGTTCTTGGTGTCTGCTTTCAAAGGGTATCACAAAATTGTCTTTACTTACCGACAGAAGTCTTGGTTTCTTTTCGTTTCTGTTAGTCTGTTTTAATTTAATAATGAAGCGGCCTGTCATATCAGTATCGATATCAAGACAGTCAGCATGTCTTGCTAGTCCATTGAGATAGGATCCGTTTTGCCAGCCATGGATGTTCTCTGGACAAGGTGGCGGTAGATCTTGGATGCTGCTCCTCTGTCCTTTCGCGGCTTCTAAAGTGTCAATGGTGGTAGAATTAGCCAATGTTCCAGGCGAAGATGGTAGAAATGGACTTAGTAGAACTGATATATATCGTTTGGCTAAAAAATCTTTTGGATGTGGCACAGGTCGTAGATTCATCAGAGCTTGTCGAATTGTGTGCTCACAGATGGGGCCCTGGATCAGATCAGATGCGTAGCGTGAATGTTGTGAAATTGTGGCTGAAAAGAGCTCTGGTAAGGCACTGGACCAGGAACAATCCAATGTGTCGTGGGCTCTTTCAGGAGAAGCTGAACCATAACCAGAGCTCAGGGAACTATCGTCATCTTCAAAATGAGAACCTGGAAAATAAAATCATCTTATATACAGAGGGAAAACCTTATTGCTTAATTTATAGAACTGGTGTATTGGCCCTCTCCATTAGCAAAAGAGAAATTATTTATTCAGCAACAAGCTCTTCCGGAAAATTTCACTGAAACTAAGTTACATTTTGTTATATTTTGTAGAATTTGAAAGAAAGTTCTATTTACCCAGGTTTTTCTCCTTGAATTTTTGGTGTAATTCCATAATTACAAGTGAGAAAGATTTAAGTACCGCGACTAAATCTGCTGTTTCCTTCTTATCAATTTTGTCAATAAAAATATCCACCAATAAATGCGTTTTTCTGTTAATTTTCTGTTAATAATACAGAGTAAACTGTAAACACGTCTTCGACTTTGGAATTGTTGAAGACTGAATAATGACGTGACGTTATTTTATTGTTTATGACGTTATTCTTCTGTCAGTCTATTTATAGCCTAAACACTTTTCGAAACACCTGATGGTACTTCTCGTTTGAGGAGTCCACTACTATACTATTATTGCTCCTGATCTTGTCATGTTTTGGATAAAATTTTTGGTTAGTGGAATTTGTTTTGCATGTACGGATTTTTATAACTGCTTATAGGCTAAATAAATCTGTAGACACACATTTTTGAATTTATTGCCTTTATGGCAAAAACAATTTGTAGGTTTTTGAAAAGACCCAAAAATAAAGCGAAATGTTAGCTACATAGCGAATATATTTAACTGTAGAATGTCCAAAATGGAAATTTATTTGTAGTCTTTAGGTTTACCTTTTATACATAGAATGAGTTCTGTCCCTTTAATCACTTTACATTGAAAGAGGCTAATTTAATTGGCGATTAATTGTTATAAAACTTATTAGAAGATTCGCATCAAGATAAAAGATGATGCAAAATTGTTTTCAACATGAGTAAAATTATAGACGATTCTACATGGAACCGTTACAAGCGATGTCACTGCCAGTAATTGTATCGGTTACGGTTTTCCATTTTATCCACAATTTTTATGCTTTTCCAAAACCAAACCAGGTGCTAAACCACAAGACAATTTTGTTTGCAATGACTTTTGAAATGCAAATGTTGAAAAATGGGCTTTAGAAAAAAAAAGGCTTTACAGCTACCATCATCGCGTTCGATTAGTCTAATATTAATCCGATAAACCTAACTGTGGGAAATAGTCTACTGACATTATTTTAGTACAATTTTCTGTCAACAGAGTCTAAAATCGTTCAGGTATTCGGATTATTTAGAAGAAGAGCAACCAATCGAATACATCCCACCTTCAGTCTGGAGAGAGCAATCGAGTGGGTGTGGTTTAAGGAGGTTCCCGGATGTAGGGTGTGTCGCACTCCAATATGGCTGAAACGGGGGCGATGGAGAAAGCTGAGACGGAAATAAATGGCAATAAAACGTTTGTAACGAATAATATTTTACTCCCGACTTCTTCGATGGATAAAATTAACAACGAACAAATAGGTGAGTTCGAATCGACGATCTATGTTTACATGAAGTGGGCGTTTTCATTAAATAACGGTAGATTTTATGACCAAAACAATTTCTGTCGACTGCTCTGTGAACTAAATAAGAACGATGCCAGTTCTGTGGTGTGACAGTGTCATTGTGCCAGTGACATCTCAAGACAATTAACATAATTACAGCTAAGCGGCTAGGGGTATTGTTACTTTCTCTGCTTTGTTTTGCTTTTATTGTTAATATGAACTATGTATCCCAGACAAAAAAGAAAAATAATTTTGACTTTGAATTCATGGAATGCATAATCAATATCTTATTATTTATAGTATAAATATGATGAGTCTAATTCAAGTTGGGTGTTAAAAAAAGAAAAATTTATATGCTTGGTTCAAAC